GATGGTATCTCCCCATTATCCGATGATACGATATATTAAAAGATTAATATATAATTTGATTAATTTTAATAAAAAATTGAATAAATTACGATATTGAGGCTCAACAAAAAGGACAAACTGTAACACAGGTTAATAATTTGTAAGAAAAATGATACAACAGTTTGGAACAATTTTATTAATAATATAAGATTAAAAATTAATGAAAAATATATTGTTTGCAACTTTTGTGATCGATATTTCAAAAATAGTAAAATGCCACCAACATGCAGAATCAATAAGTTCGAAGTGCTACCACTACCAAAAGAAATAACAACATTAAATGATTACGAGCGGATTCTTATACAACGAGCGAAAGCATTCCAAATTGTGCAAAGAGCGCATACCGTAATAAATAAAAATCTACCGCACAGAGAAATGATATCAAAAGTGAAAGATAGAACATTCCATTTGCCATTGCCGTTAAACGAAACGTTAAACAAGATTTGTTCTTCGACTGAACCTATTAATTTAAATCATGAGCTATATATATTAGTTCGTAGTATTCCAACTAAAGCAAATATAATCTGGGAAAAATTAGTCGATGTAAAAAAAGTATGGACTGCCTTAATATGGTTAAAACAAAATAATCCTATATATTCAGATATTATACTACCGATATCTCCTGAAAATTTGTTGCATTCCAAATTACGAGATGTTGAGTTTCAGGAACATGATTCGGAGCTTTATGACAAAACTTTGGGGGAAGATAATGAAGAAAACGAAAAAAATAATACTTCTAAGGAAGAATGTAAGGCATTATTGACTCAAATGTCGCAAACAGATCAATATTATGAACAATTTACTATATATCCAATGTATGAAAAAAGAATAAATGAATCTGCAACTACACTTTATCAAATAATAAAAGTTCAAGATATTCCATTGGATAATCGTAATAAAGATTTGGATATAAAATGTTTTCCTGATTTATATCCATATGGTGCGAATGGACAGCATGAAGATAGAAGTGTCCGGATAACTGATTTTGAATATATTAAAATGAGACTTATGTCGCAACACTCACAATTTCGGTTAAATATACAATATATTTTCTATTTATTACATGATAACAATATGCGACAATTAAATAGTGAATTGCATCTTTTATTTTAAAATATGTCACTTGTAGAATTCCAAATAAACAGTTATCACCTGAATTATAATATATCGACGTGTAAATACATATCAATGACATAAACATAATAATTACTGCTTGCGCACCAAAAAAACTAAAGTACGTTTTTCTAAAGTATGCAGGTTTGGCTTTTCACGATCCGTAACAGATACTTTGAAAATTAAAGACGTTGCTGTTTCAATAGCGGATAGAAGAAAATTGAAAACAAAAAGCAGACTCTACGATTTGCCACGATCTAAAGAGGAAGTCAATATTAATGATTATAATCCAGCTATTCTTACTGCTTGGGAAGGAAACATGGATATTCAATTTGTAGGTGAAAAATCTACGTTATTAACTTGGTATACTACGAAATATGTTTCCAAAGCAGAAAAGAGTAATAACGCAGAAGATACATTTGAAAAGATAAATTCAACAAAATCGTTGAGAAGTTGTCTTTGGAATATTGGAATGCGTATGTTGAATCATAGAGAATGTGGAGCTCTCGAAGCTGCTAACACTTTATTAGGAATACCATTATATGGTACTGATAAAGAAACGACTATAAGATGGTTAGATGTAAATATGATTAGAAGTAGAAAACTTAAATCTCGCAAAGAGATTGAAATGCAAAATTCTGAATCTATGGATATTTTTTGTCCTTCTCTAATTGATACATATTATCCAAGCAGACCTAAAGAACTAGAATCTACTAATTTGTATGATTATGCAAAATGGTATGATATTACAAAAACTAAATCAATTTCTAAGACAATAAAGTATTACGTGCTTGGTGAATCTTTATATTTAAAGAAACGTAAACGTGGATATCTTATCAATCATTACAAATATAATGTCCATACTCAACCAGAGCGTTACTATTTTTCATTATTGTTATTATTTCAATCTTGGAGAGATATTAGTGAATTAAAGAATGAATGTGATAATTATGCAGAAGCATTTTCTTTAATACAATATAAATTGAAAGATGCTCTTCAGTATCATGAAAAAATAACCGACATCAAGGTATGGATAATATTAAAGAATTAATTGAAAAAAAAATATCAGAAATTACAAAAAATGAAGATGAAAATGACTGTCTTGAAAATGGTGCATTAGAATGTGTTCCTGTCGAAGTTGAAGGAGCTATGATGGACTTTAAAGATGCTGGCAATAAATTTGAAGTTAATGTCGATGAAGTGGTGACGCAATTAAATATTGATCAAAAACGAATCTTTGATAGAATTACTGCTGGTATATCTGATGATACAGGCCAGATCTTATACATATTAATATTTTGAAACAACGTGTTCACAAGATTCGTGATACAATTTGGGCAATATCATCAAAAAATATTTTGGAATGTCAAGTTAATAATGATAAGGATGTTAATGATTCTACTTTATGGCATATAAGAGGACTTCCAAATGTTGATAATATATCTTGCTATGCTAATGTTTCAATTCAATGTATACTTCATTCTTCTATTCTCAGAAAATTGTTGCTTCGTCTTGAGCATAGGAATATTATAAGAAAATTTATTAATTGTTACATGTCAAACGATGAAACTATTAATATAATGGCAATACGCCAATTGGCAGGAGATCAATATCTTGAAAAGATTCAACGAGATGTTAGTGAGTTTATTATACATCTTATTAATAACATAGATAATATAAAGAGTGTAATCGAGCACCAATTAAACATAACTTTACGATGTAAGGTATACAACTATACAAACACAAAAATTTATATACCTAAAAAAAACCTTACAAAGGTAAAAAAAAATACGCCAAGTATATAAAAAAATTTCAACTTATCCGCAAAAAAAGTTTAAAAATAAAAACTAAATGAAATCAATAGTTAAATAGCCAAGTATTTAGAAGCAATCCAGTTTATAAAGATTTGTAATTTGAAATAGTATTTGTCAGAAAATCAATCTTGTATTCATAGAAATGTTATAGACAGATTCACTCACAGATTCACGGGTTTCTATGAAATCAAAACGCATTTTATTTTCATTAATAGAAACCTGATTTTCAAAAAAAGTTCAACAATTTTGAATATTGTATATCGAAACCCGTCTGTGAGTGAATCTGTCTATAACATTTCTATGAATACAAGATTGGTTTTCTGACAAATACTATTTTAAATTACAAATCTTTATAAACTGAATTGCTTCTAAATATTTGGCTAGTTAACTATTGATTTCATTTAGTTTTTATTTTTAAACTTTTTTTATTTTTTAAAGTTATTTTTTGGAGGAAAATCTTTTTTTAATTTTTTATTTTGTATGAAAATTTTTTTTACCTTTGTAAGGTTTTTTTTAGGTAATAAATAGTTTACAAGTGTTTCTCGCATTAGATTCGTGCTAATCTTAACAGCGAACTTGCGCCGGCGAGCTACCAGGTGCGCAAGGATATTCTCCGCGAGCGGCAGATATATCTTGGATACCGCAAGCGACGGTATAAACGGCGCGATTCCACGAGCGACGGAATAAACGGCGCGTTTTAATTGCGAGAGATTAATCGCGAGCGACGAGAAATCTCTTTTATTACAATCAAAAACTTCGCGTTTCGTAAGCGAGAATACGAACTAGAAAAGCGAGCGACTTTTCTTTCACGAGAGTTTAGACGATATAATAACACACTGTCACGGATGGAGTTCATGATCGAGTACGCCCGGCGGTTCCCCGAGAGAGCTTTTATACAACCGTTCTTTTACTTATTCTAGAACATTCGACATGTTTTTCGCGAAAGATCAAGCTTGCTGTTGTTTGCGATGATTAGGAAAAATAGAATGTTGTTATTCGCATTTGTTTGTAATTTTGGCTCTGTCGGGTGACCGCTGCGTGGCCCGCTTCGAACGGCACGAGCAATGCCGCGGGCCTGGCGCGATTCGCGGAGCGCCACTGTTGACGCGCGCTCTGATTTGCGGCGCGCCGTGTTCCGCGCGAGATGGCCGCTAAGGGCCGTGGCACATAGAAAAACTTAAGCAGTAAGACTTAAGACGTAAGCGAATTGACCAATCACGGTCGAACAGTAAGGCAGCCATATTGAGACGTAAGCTACGCTGAAAATTCCGTATGGTTGAAATTCTTAAGTCTTAAGTCTTACTGCTTAAGTTTTTCTATGTGCCACGGCCCTAACGCGCCAATTTTCGAGCGTTCCCTTTAGAGACGCTCAATTTCAAATAGCTTCTTTTTAATTATTTTCTAAGTTGAATATTCATATATTTACTCAGACATGCACACTGATTATCTTTCTCAGGATATTTTATGAAATGCGCAAAAAATTCATACTGCATTGAGTCATCTTCACAATTGTTATTTTTGAAATTAATATGGAACACATACTGAGCATTTTTGTTGTTCATAGTGACATTTTTGCGCAATTTATACTGCTTGAAATTCGTCTTGTTGTCATTGTTTTTTTTTATGAAATTCGAATGGAACTTATACCTCATTATCGAAAAATAGTATCAGAAAAAATTGAAAAGAAGAATTATTTCGTATAGTATTTTCTTAATACTAAAAATTTAAATTGATTGAAGATGCAGTATATTTTTATAATTTTCATGTATGTATTTAGCAAAAATATATGTACATCTTGACTTTTGATTAAGAAAATGAAATATATTTTTAGTTTATTTAGTATTTTATGTGCAAGTCATATTACATGTGTTTGTCAAACTTATACTTATTAATTGTAGGAATATCTGTTTAACAAACCCGTGTAAATAAAACATATATTCTGTGTTTACTTATTTTCATAGTTATATAGCGCCTCATTTAGAGAGCAGTATGTTCGCTTACATTATCGATTGTTTTTATTAGATAACCCCATTCTTTTCTTTCTTAATATTTAAATGGCCGATATGATCAGGGGTAGATTAATATATTCGGGCCAACAACAGGTTATATTAGAGTATAAATTTCAGTTATGTATATATACTGATTAAGTAAATTCTCTTGGGGAAGGAGAGAAGGAAGGAATTTTTGGGAGGTGATAGGAAAGGAAAAATGGGAAAGCGCAGGCCAGGATCGAGTCGGGAATCGAACCCGAAATCTCCGGGATGTGAGTCAGGCACGCTACGCATTGAGCCACCGGAGGCCCCTAGATAACCCCATAATAACCAGAGTTTGTTAAGTTAACATGCATTGTTTGCATGCACGCAAAAAGATTGATATTTATGTTGATCCCAGATCGCTCTTCTTTCAAAAAGCCAAACATTAATTTTTCATACATATCAAATATTTATTAATATCAAAATATTAGATGCAATTCATGATGCAGAAATATCTAAATACAAATTCGAGAGTTTGCTTCCAAGTATATAATATTATACATTGAAACATTTCTAGCGTTGATGTATGTACAAAATATAGCTACATGAAGATGAATTGATCAAAAGAAATATTATTTTTAACCAACGAATAAGTTCAAAATATGGACGCGTACGAATATATTCGTAATCAATTTGGACCATACCGGTTCGAAAGACAGTATTTTATTCTCTCTTTATATGTTATTTATCTGTCTCAGAAATAATTTTCCTTTATCAACACTATACAGCACAATATTTTGTACAGTTTTTTACAAGATTAAAATTTTTTACGATATTACAATCAGAGTGATTTGATTCCAATGTAATAATATGTACCGACAGGAGATTCATTGTGAAGACGAAATCAAAGATCAAAAATAAAATAAAATTACGTTATAATAATTTTACGATTGCAAGTAATTACACTGAAATTACAATAAATGTTTTATTTATAAGTTTTTATTACAGTCTCTAATACAACAATAATAGTTTACATTTATGTAATATAACACAATAATTATAATTTTATACAAGTTCCGTAGCAGTCTTACAAAGCGAATAATAGAACTTGATTATAACTTTAGAAGTAGGGCTGATAATGTGCTGAAAATTTAAAACATTTACATATAATGTTTTAAACCGTAAAGTATATTTAAAAAAAGCTTATAAATAAATCTAGAAAAATATAAATTTCTGAATAAAAGAGACCGAAAAGGATAAACATCCTATGTGAAATTTTGAGCTAACAATAACTCTATTGAAGACCAAAACAAATAAATCAGTGTCATTGTAAAGTTAATTCTTGATTCGAAAATTATAGAGACTATAATTAATCGCTGATAAATCATTGATTCCTGATCTGCGATAAAACTTTCTTTTGCACATTGCAACATTAGAATTCAGTCCCATGCGACAAATTTTTCGCGTGACAGTTCCCTTGTTCGCAAGAACTCCTATTTTCCTGCATAGGCATCATTCCTGACGTGGTGGTGCACGTCGAAGTAGTCGACGCTATTGTATTCCTTGCGCATCGACCTTCTGGAAAGAGACCAAAGCCGAATCGCTTCAGTAACAACCGCTTGATTTTTTTTTTCCACACGAATATGACAAAGGTGCAGAGATTTTGTATAATGTCCATTAAATTAATAATATATGAGACAGAATTTGACATAATATTTCCAGATAACCATGACGCTGTCATTATCGACCATTTTATGCCCATCACAATAAACTGCACGATAAATAGCTTTAGATACAGATTGAACCTGCAAATAAATATATATATATATATATGGAGATATATGGAGATACACTTTAATAACAAATATAGATACTATTAATCAAGTCATCTTTAAATATTAATAAATTAAAGTACAATTTTAAAAGAGAGAAAGAGAAAAAAGATTTGTACGATTTAAGAAAAATGTCTAAAAAAATGTGATTTTTTAATGAAATGAATATATTCATTAACTTTATTTTCGCTATTTTCACATTTCAAAACTTGAAGACCATCTTAAAAAAAAAAAAAAAATAATACGCGTACGATAGAAGTGTCAGCAATGCGTTTTATAAAGAGATTATGTAATTAAAAGAAAAAAGAAGAAAAGAAATGGGCACACAAAAAAGGTGTTACTTCCAAATGATCATTGCTGCTGACAGGGATGTTGAAAAAAATATATCGGCAAAAATATAGATCATCACACATTGATGCAAAAATATCTGAATACCACTTCTTATTGTCATTATATCTCTTGCTTTCCGAATCTGTCAAACAATTGCCTGTTTCCTTTTCATAGTGTGCGATCTTCAATGTTGTAGAGATAGATAAGCAAATGCTACTAATGATGCAGATACTTTTGAATCCGTAATAATACAACGCAAACGTTCCTTTCTCTGTAAGTATAATATATAAAGAATTTTTAAACTATTTCTCATAGTATTAAAATGCGGCATTAATATAATTATTTGTCAGAGACGCCCACTTACCAGCAAACCAGCAATTTCCTGCGCGAAATCCCGGTCGCAAAATCTTCGGCAAATATTCGGAAACAAAATCCATAATGACACTGATAACAGCAAAGGTAAAGGGTAAACCCCACGCAAAGATCGTATAAAACACCAACTTTCTTTTATCTCGTTGTCCGACGTTTCTTTGTAACGAACAAAATCCTCTGCAAAACGTAATTTACACGTCATACTTAGAGTTAAAAATAGACACCAAAAGATTACAAAATAAATGCATGATAAAATATGGTCACCTTTGATCGAGGCTTTCTCGAAAGTTTGTTCTATAAAAATACATTTACATAATACGTCAACAATATGACTCGATTATCACGATAATGGCGATTTAAATTTTTATTTAGTTGCATGAGAATTTCAAATTTTTTATAAAAATAAATTAAAAATCTGTTTTTGTTAAAAAGTTATTGTGTGTTGGCTTATCTTTCCATCAGAAAATTAAAAAAGATTAAAACATTATAAATATCAGGTATATATAATTTTAAAAACGACAAAATTCAAGGAAATTTTGTTACGTTATACATATTGCGAATTATTCGATCACATATAATATTTTATAAATATTTCATAAAATGTCTGTAATTTTATTAAGTAATATGCCATTTTTGCTTTTAAAAACTTAACTTAATCATACAAAATAAAAACTAATAGTCTAAAAATTTTTATGCGTTAATAGAAATCTGCAAAAAAAATCCTATTTTAAATCATAATAAAAATTTATTATTTCTATATACTCTAAACTTATAGTGTCTTAAATCAAGTAGTTACTTATATACACTGTTATGCAACACGATGTGAGAAAATATTCTGTTTAATTAATTAAAAATATATTATTCTTGTTCTTTCTTTTTACATTGTCGGTATATACATATAATATAAAATATGTTTATACAGGGTATCCCAGACCACCCGTACATCCCTTTTAAAATGAAAATAAATGGCTTTTATCAAAAATCGCGAACATTTTTTAAGTAAATCGGGTATGCTCTATCGAATGGATAGTACTTTTTATTACAGATTCGAATTGTACGTGAAAAAATAAGAAACTTTTGTATTAAACGTTTTTTCTGAAAGTGCCTCTGTCAACCTTAAAATTGACCTTGAAAGTTGCCCTCAAAAAATTCAACTTCCGGTCCGGATGGTGTATTTCCGGTCGGAATCAAAAGTTGAAAATATCACCATTCGATAGAGCATACCCGATTTACTTAAAAAATGTTCGGAATTTTTGATAAAAGCCATTTATTTTCATTTTAAAAGGGGTGTACGGGTGGTCTGGGACACCCTGTATATTACAGAAAATTATTTTGTCGTGTTGTGTTGTATAATATAAATCTAATTCTATAAAGATAAGTTGAAATGAGGCAAGTTTTAAATAAAGTATAATATAAAATAATTGACGAATTACCTAAATGTCCACCACATGTCCAAACTCATCACGTTTAACCAGAAGAAGCTTACCAAATAACACAAGTAGTTGAAGAAGGCTGTAAAAATGAAATAAATAACATCTCAAACATTGAGGGCGCGTTAAAAAGCAGATGGGACTGTTACACCTTTACCACCTTTGTTTTTCTCCATCCAAAAAAAAATAGATTTATTCTAACTTTTTCTAACATAATATTATATAATATTATATAATTGATGAATACGTATTGATATTAAATTAAATAATATTTTGATTCAAGACATAATTCTGCAAAATTTTAAAACACAAAAAAAATATATTTTTTCAGGCAAACTTATTTATATGTTAAAATGCATCTAAAATTTAAATTTGATTCGCTATTGATCTTTGCATTTTGAATATATGATTTTAACAAATTATATATTCAAGTTATTAAAAAGAATAATTAATAAGCGAATATACATATATATGTATACTAACATACGAAACAAATATGTTATACTGATTGCATCATGGACGTAAGAAATACTTATACAGAACGTAAGATACCCTTTTAGACGTGGGGTATTGAAAGGGTGAGGGGTCCATCGTCGCCACCATTTTAGAGGTCAGAGATTTTGCGTCTACTTTCACGTCGCGCGGTATTACTCGACGTTAACCGAGACATTGCAACGATCACATTCCGTGAAATTATTCGCCGCCGCCATCTTAAAGGTTACCATCCGTTTCAATAGACATTTCATTCCCCTCACCCTTTGTGCTTCAATCCCGCAAGATTGCGCTCTGTCCAGGTATTTTTTACGTCCATGGATTGTATATTTATATAATTTAGATATACTTTACCGATTGAGATACAGACGGAATAATGTACAGCATCCGCTTCGATTAGAAGTATCACAATATGAATTGTGTATGCGATGGACAAAGCACCGCTATAATTGCACAAGAAGAAGCCGTGTGTGTTCCGGAGTTCTGGCAATATAGAATACACCAGAAATATTGACACCAAAAATAGTATGGACACTATATGAAAGCTCACATATATGATGTTTATGTCATTTATTATATTGACGATCTTGTCAGAAATCTCTGAACAGATAGTCACTTCGTACTTATTCCCTCTCACTACGGCGAGGCAATATGATTTGGCAAATATTTCATAATAAGATAAATAGAGAGAACCATTGGTAAAGAACACGTAATCATACTGATGACCATCGGGATGTAGGTAGCGAACTTCATTCTGGCATGGATCGTAGACAACTAGCTGAAACAATTCGTTCACTCCCTTATTTTCGCTCTGCAACGAATCGTTCGCGTATCCGTACACATACGGGAAAAAGTATTTATTTTTTTCCGGGATGCATTCGTTGTCAACCAGGCGATTGCCAAGAGGACAACAAAGCTGAATACAAGTAATATTGTAACACATTTCGTATGGAATGATATTATTTATATTGCTATCTTTACTGGAGTTTTCATAGAACTTGTGCGATGTGGAATCGTTTTTGTCTTCAATGCTCATTAAATTTCCATAAATTTCGTGTGACGTGAAGTTAGTTTTATGGTTAGCATTTGGTAAATTCGTGCGAGGTTCCATCGGTATTTGCTTACCATCCACATGTATAGAATGCATGTGGAGCTTATACTGTATCGCATCATCATCTTCGTAATCATTGTTCGTTGAAGTGATGCGAGATTCATACTGCGTACTATTGTCGTACTGTGTATTGTTGGTACACTTTTCGTACAAATCATATCGCAGTGTATTCATTTCATCGCCATAATTTGTCGTAGAGTTTGCGTCTAACTCGTTTCGTATCGTCAAATTATCATTTTTCTCTTCGTTGCTCGTGGAATTTTCTTGAGATTTCGACGATGAAGCGACGAGGAGAAGAAGCGCGCAATACCAAAACGTGAAATTTTTTCCACACATCATCGACTTTTTGACGTGTCGAATTTATATCTGAAAAATACGTATTTGATTTTCTTTTACGGTAATTTCATAACCACATGTCCAGTCGAAACAATATACAAACTGCAGATTGAAAAAAACGTTAATATTATTAGTCTGCGATGATTTGATCGCGACAACCCATTTCTATCCTACTCCTCAAGATCGAAAAGGGTGCTTTAGAAGATCTATGCTCGCGAATGCATATCAGAATGAGAATTGATGTCGATAGAACAGCACCTCGATAAAACGAGTTACGGAAGAACCAAAAACGGTAATGTCGTGATAGGAGCGATTAAGAGATTAAGTTTTTTTGAATGGTATTGTGTTATTTCTTTCTGGATGTGTAGTTTAAAAAATGAATAACACGCGTGAATGCTTGATTAATATATTTAATTTCAAAAGCTTTTAATAATTTTATAGTCCAATACACGCACATGTATTTCGATTATGCCTTGCAATAATCGATGATTAATCATTACACCTAAATTTCCGAGAAATATTTATTTTCTACTTTTACACGTATCGATTTTTTTTATACATGTCCATTTTGATATAATCTGTAATTTGAAAAACTCTGAAAATCTAACAATATACTTTAGAATAATTGGATGATCAAACCAATCGAGCTTAGAGTCCATAATATCTCATGTAGGTTCTGAATTTTAAATCATTAAAAAATTTTATATTAAATTTATTCATACTTTTGTTTTTGCATTAGTTGCATGAAAAAAACTGTGTTAAGTGTAAGTATACAAATGTAATAAAAAGAAATTACCTTTCTTTTTCCTTTTTCTCGGCAAAACCACGAAAGATTGATCTGTTTTTATTCTAGCACTGGTATCGTTGACGATTATGGTCGATTTTTAGTTATCTCATTACATTCAATAAAATTAATATTACATCCGTGTTCGGCGACATCTCTTTTCGAGACGAATGAGAGAAGAATTCAAGAAACATGAAGCCCGCTCGAACGAGAAGATGAGACTATCGAGGATGATGAGTTGTCGATAGCTTCGAGAGAGACAGGAAACAGTCTACTACTATAAAACTATACACATATAACAATTACAATACAAGGTAAAATTCCATTAGCAAACTTTTACTTTTTTTTCTGCAGACGGTAGCTGTACGCAGCGACAGCCAAGTAACATAAATATTTTAGCTATATATTATTTTATAAATTTATATTATATTAGAGAAATTTTAGATTTATTTAAATATTTAATTTAAAAATTTCTATTGGAAAGCAGTTATAATCGATAACACGTGGTTAAGTAAAATTTTACTTTACTAAAAATTTATCAATCTCATTCATTATCTTTAAACTAGAAAAAATACTCGACCAAAAAATAAAATTACCTTGAATATATCAGATAGAGAGGGAGAAAGAGAGAGAATTTACCGTTATTCGCTATAACTTGTACTCCATTCTGCTCGGTACGGTGGTGTCTGCTAATATAAAAACCAGTTTAGACGCGAAGTTTTTGTTTTATTAAACAGATACATCATGACTATTTATTTGATTAGAAATTAAAAATAGCGAGAATAGATGATGTTGATACGATTTAATTTTATACTTGATTCTGATTTTCAACGCGAAAAAGACATCTGATGTAAAAAAATGTATTGAAATTCCTTAAAATAACATGAAACTAATACTAAAAATCATATCAGAAAAAGTCTATATGATTTTTGCAATATTAGTCTCAAAGATAAGACAATTTCTCACGTGCAAAAAATCGTACGCACATATTACTGACTCATATGGTATTTTTGTTAGCTGAAGAATAAATATGTGATAGAGTATCTATTTTTGAATAGAATAATGTATATACATATATTTGTACTATATATTTTTTTCTATCATACTATTATAAGATAGAACATGTAATTTAATGTCAAGTAAATTTTATATAATATTTAAACAATTCGATTAAATAAAAAGAGATTATGTAACAACTGAAATCGATTTATTGTGAGTATAAAAATAAAAATCTACGATTTAAGTTTGAATAATGTTTTAATAATCTCGTAATAATAAAATCTTATTCAAATTATACAATAATTATTTGTATTATTTTACGAACTTTTTATCACAATCGATGGTATGAATAAATTAGCTTCTTTCATTTGATATATGTATAGTAATATTGGCTTACAGTAATTTCATGCATTTCTTATTCTCTCAGCATCTTTGTTTTTCATATATTTATACTTTGATATTTGCATCTTTTCCTTAAGAGTAAAATCAAGATCATGAACCGACAATATATCGGCGCCATTTGAAACATCATCGTTATCTTCGATATTCTCTAAAAATAATTGTTAATGATTTATGCGCTGATGCGCGCCGTATGAGATACACACAATTGCAAACCGGATCTTAAATAACATTTACTGTCAGCTATTAATTATTCTCTATAATGTAAGTTTATAGAATAAATGAGATTTTTCTTCGTATCCATATTTGATTAATTGTTTTTCGAGGTAAATTCTTCCTTTGTATCGCATATTTATTATAGATAAAATATTTTAATTATATGCCTCTTTTCTAATAGCTCTGTAAAGTTATTCTTAGATATTTTAGTATTGTCGAAAATGTATAGTGATCCTTTATTAAATATTATGTTCTAAGTGGCTAAACATCCTTTATGGTATTGTTGGATTAATCCATCTATCATGTATGCAAGTTTATTAATAAAGTTTTTTCTTCGAATCATCTCGTATACACGATTTCACAGCAGATAGATTGCTTTTTTATAAGTAACTTGTTGTTCACGGTAGTTTCATCATAATATTTATGCTAGTATATATGCTGCTCGTGCGCTCTTCTCGCAATGTATTTGCAAGCAGTAATATCGTTTTTTTGCTGAAATATTAATGTCGCTCGCATTTAAATCAATAGATCAACGATATCATCAGTAACTTTGTTTCCGCAATTCAGATAAAAGCGAAACTAATATAAAACTATGATTTGGCAATGAAATTAATGTAAGAAAAGGGAAATCATTCTTCTTCAAATAATTTAATGCGTCAAGAAGACGAAGTTATGTTTCCACATTATGTTTCCTTTCTTTTCTCAATCACATGTAGGCTTGATCTTGCCAAGGATATCAGGTTTTGCATCTATGTGTGTGATGAGCCTTCGTCTCATTAGCATGTGTAATTTATTGGAGTAAGAATAAAAATGTCAAGGAACTATGAGACCTAAGGTATTTTAAAAAATCTCGAAATCTTCGATGGCATATATATATAAAACTTGCACAAGATGGTAAGTCAGTATAATGAAAACTTTTCGAGCTGTAGCTAGCAAAATAGTGTATCGTTTTTCGACATGAATTTATTAGTGAGTCCAAATTTTTGTGCGAATAAAACGCATCATGTAACGCGGTGTCACGAGATCTGTATATACAGTCATGAATCTACTATTTTTGTAAATCGAATATTATTGTGAATCAATACAAGTAATTCTCTCAATCAGATATATGTATATATATATATAAAATCATAGTAAAAATTTTTTTAGTTTAAAATCCAATCTAATCTAATCAATAATATTAAAGTGCAAAAATTAAATAGTTACGTCAAATCATCTATTAGTATTGATATCGTGTAACATTTAAATATTTTAATTAACTAATAAGTAAGTTATATACAGGGTGCGGCATTTATAGTGACGCGGGCATATTTTTCGGAAATGAAGTAAGATATCAAAAAATGTTTCAGACAAAAGTTGCATGGTTTCGAGGGGGCCACATGATAAAAATATGGATTTGATTTTAAGAAAAAGTATGTAATTATTTACAATGTATTTTTTAAAACAATTATTTGTTTTTTTCTTTACACTAATTGATTTGTCTCATTATTCTGTACATAAAAGTATTACGGTAAGATTATCGAAAACTAAATATTTTACGAGATATTTTATTTTTTATATCAAAATATGTCAGATTAAAATATAAAATAACTCAAAAAGTACTTAATGAAAAAATACTTTATTATAGTGTTTTGGAAAGCTCTCGAGGTAAGCTATAAGAATATGTAATAAAAAATGGGGAGTTCCATTAAGGAAAACATCGACCACATTGACCTCACTTTGAAAAGACCACTTAAGGTCAAATCCATATTTTTATCATGTGGCCCCCTCGAAACCATGCAACTTTTGTCTGAAACATTTTTTGATATCTCACTTCGTTTCCGAAAAATATGCCCGCGTCACAATATATGCCGCACCCTGTATATATAAAACAAGTGTTTAGGAAAATGTTATAAAATACATAAATAAGTCATACATTATGTGTTTCTTTTGAAAAATTTCTACTGGGAATATAGATCTACTTGAATCTTTAACCGTTTTTATATATAATTGATTATTGTTTTATTGAAATTTAACAGATCATAATAACAGATTAATTATAGGGTGGATAAATTTCTTGAAAAAACGATAAAAATAAAAAAAAGAATCTCTTTTATGAAAATAAAATAAATTTTTTTAAATTAAAATAGCACATAATAATAGAAAATGAATAAAGACGTGAAAAAACTAACTGTTTTGGTTATATCAAAATCTATGGAACGTACAAGAATCATTTTGATCTCATTTGAAAGATAATTTAATTTTCTACAACTTTTGTTTCGGTACTTTTTGTTAAAAGACGCACATTTTCCATGATATTTGGAAAAATGTGTAAAATAATCACAGGTTCAGATTTCAGAGGTTTTTGAACGATAACTTCTTAAGAAAGCATTTTTTGACCCATGTTTATAGGAAATTTTTTGTTCAGAATTAAATTTCCTATAAGATCTCAAAGTCTGGCTCGAACGTTCAGGGCCACCCTGTATATACAGAAATATAATTAGTTGTGTGTACATCGCGCAAAAGAGAGTAATATTGCAGAGCGCTTTATCAGATTATAAACCGTAAGACGAAAATACACGTTGTATCAATAATAAATTATTCTTTGATGGTTACATGTTTAATTTAGATATTATAGAGATATTTCAGCTTTCTTATTACTTGTTAATTGATTTTGTCAATATAGGAATATTCAGAAATTTCTGTTCTTATTTTATAGAGAATTAGAGTTTAATCAAATTTACAATACATGATTTAAAGAACTATATGGTTCTTTATCTTTTCAGATTCTCACTTTGTGCGTTTTAATGGAAGCGGTATTGATAATATCGTCTAGCACAAAAACATTACCTGTTAAGAATGACAATGCATATGCGCTAGGATACCCAGGCATGGTATCAAAGATACCTGACTACAACATTGATATTGGCATTCAGGACCAGTCAATTCGAAGTAGCAAGCCTCTTTACAGCTATAACTACAACATTGATACTGGCATTCAGATCCAAGAGAGTGGTTACCTCAATCATATAGGCACCGACAAGGAGGCCCTGGAAGCGCGAGGCAGCTACGGCTACATTGACAATGAGGGCAATTTTTTCTCTGTTTTATATACAGCCAATGAGAACGGATTTCAGCCGGAAGGTGCTCACTTGCCTACAGTACCACCATTAATAATAAAGGCCCTTCAGTATATCGCCAAACATCCCGAGGAGAACGGGGAATAAGGACATTAAGGGAGGAAACCAGTGTAACGGCTAAAAATAGGCTATTTTTAAGTATTTTTTTTTTTGTAAATAATGGTTTTTTTCAAATCACTTTATTAACATCACAAAGTATATAATTTAAACTACATTTCGTGGAATTTTCGTTAAAAAATATTAATATTTATAGCTATAATAGCCAATAGTGTGAACCGCCTTAAGAAAAAATAATTTGTTACAAAATGGCAGACTTTTGAAGAAAAAAGTTCCAAAATCGGTGAGAAATTGACTTCTGTTTTTTAATATTACAAAAAAACAAATTATTCAATCGAAAATTCCATACGTGCAACTAAAGCTATTGTCTCATATTTTAAGAAAATACTTGTTTTTTTTTTGTTTCGGAGCTTTCGTTGCCCCACTACGCATGCGTCCATTTTTTTTTAAGACGGTTCACAATATTGGTTATTGTAGTTATAAATATTAATATTTTTTAATAAAAATTTCACAAAAAGTAATTTGAAGTATGTACTTTGTGATGTTAATAAAACGTAACTCGAAAAAAAAAAAACCTTAAAAATAGCCTTTTTTTCAGCTGTTATACTGGTTTCTCCACCTTAAAACGTGACAAAAATATGCGTAAAATGGGCAAAAATATTAACAAGACAAACTATATATTGATATAAAGATTGTGCGTACGAATCATTGCTTATTATTATTATACCATCGACTCTCCGAATCCTTCAGATGATGGGTTATGTTCTTCTTGTAACACGCGATGTTCATAATGTTGTATACATGGATATATAAGTAAATATATAATATCTTAAAAATACAGATATTATTAGGCCCGTGATAATACAACAGAGATATCTCAGTTTCTGAAATATAAAAATAAACTTCTCACATTACATCAGATGTCACAAGAATAAAAAAAAAAACACTTTTACTTTTAATATGAATTCTTGTGATGGGGTAATCATATATATAATTTTGGCTTCATCTATTTCCACAATAATCCCTTCTCTGCCAATTTGTTGTTGTCCTTTTATTAATCAGTCCGATAATAACTAAATATTAAAAAAATTAAAATATAAAAATGCATGTATAAGTAACAAATATAAACATATACCGAATATTTTATTCAAATATTAATTTACATACCTCTCTACAAAAATGTGTCTAATCAACAACAGCTTTATCATGTATTTCCAACTCATTACATATAAGAGATTGTCATAGTGGTTTAATTATTAAAAAATATCCAATAAACCGACAAATTTTTATCATATCCAAATGAGTTTTAGAAAACCAAGTATTATTCAACATACTTATTTTAAAGTTGCATGTTATCCGTTGTCTTTTTCGTCCAGATATAGTCTTATAATATTTATTAGTGCAATGCATGATAAAGCTTTTAAATATATTTGTATAAGTTATAATATTTCTACATTTTGGACATTGAATATTATCACGAATAACTTGTTTATCAATAAGATACTGTATTAGAGCATCATAATTATATGTTAAATGAAGAAATTCGTGCAAATGCATTGTATTATTAACGAAATGCACTATTATTTGTACTAATATATTGAGAAGTAAGAACTTTACGCTTGGAAGAATTAAACAAGACTGTGTCATCATAAGAATTCACTAGTACAGAAAATAATAAAAAATGAACATGAAATAGGATAAACATTGAGGGAAGATATTCAAATGTAAACACAAAGCAATATTT